AATTTCTCACAACCCTGTCTAACATAATCGGGTGAAGCATGTGAGGGTTGATAGATTTTTCATCAAGGAAAAGCTTGATAAAAATATTCTGGAATTGCCAAATATTCGATCTGAAGATCAACTGACAAACATTATTACCAAAGTTGTGACAAATCAGATTTTTAGGAGATTATTGGACAAATTGGGAATGTATGACATCCATGTACCAACTTGAGGGGGAGTGTTGAGATGAAGATATTTGATTAGTTAAATTATAGGTTTGTATAGTTGTACAAAATAATGTATAATCAAAACTTACTTTATTTAGTCCTAATTTGTAGGAGTAAAATACTATAAAAACATGGTATCTGTATCCAAAAAAGATATGAATAAAAGTTATAGAATGAATTCTATGTTTTTCAATTATATTTAATATCAATTTTATATAACATCGATTCTTGTTATTGAAAATTAAGAGAATTAATATTAATTTTAGAAGGAATTCATATTGAGTGTCAATATTTTTAGTATTGGTTCTTTTACAATCAATATAGAAAGTTGATTTTTATTTTTTAGATATTTGCTATTTTTACACATAATAATAAGCAGCAAACACCCTCAATATAGGCCAAAGAATTATTGGCTATAGTTTTAGTCTTTGTTGTTCATAAGTGACATCATTACTTGCTCAATAAACATTTCATTGTTAGAACTCATCATTACAACCTCAAATAGTTAATTGATCAACAATTGGCACTAGAATTACAACAAAAGTGGTTGACTAAGTTGATAGAGTTCAATTTTGCAGTAGAGTATAAGAAATGACATGAAAATTGTTGAAGATACGAGGACTTGATGTTGAACTTACATAGACATGAAGCTTGTTGATTTTGATGATGATTCAAGAACAAAGAACTTAGAGAGTTGAAGACTTGTATTATTGTGTAATAACTCTGTTTTGATGAGTTTGAGTCTGTAATATTAGAGTCTAAGATAGCTGGTACATATTCTACTCTTTAGAAGCTTCAAAAACTCATATTTATCAAAAAGCCTCAGTTTAATCGATTAAATCACCAAATAATCGATTATTACAGTGAGAAAAACCATTTTCTGTATCTGTTCACTATAATAATCGATTAACACACCTGTTAATCGATTAACAGGCCAATTAATCGATTAACAGGGCACTTAATCGATTAAACCAGTGCGTGTTGGGGTTCTGTTGACTTTGGCTCTGTAATAATCGATTAACACTTCATTTAATCGATTATTTCAGTCATATTTGGATTTTTAACTTCAAATTAAACCTATTTTCGAAAAACCCTAATCCCAATACTCCAAGTTTTGAAAATCCCCAATTCCCAAACCCTAATTCATCTACTTAAGGTTCTCTAAGGCTCTCAGAAAAGAGAACAACCTTTTTCAAACAAAATTTGAGAGCTGTGATTGCCAGAGAACTGTTTGTTGGAGGAAAAAGGGGCTTTTGGAACTTGGTGTGGGCTAGAAGCGATAAGAATCACTAAGTGGAGTTCTTAGTAGATTGTGTGTTGTGCCGTCTCTAGGGAAAACTGTTCTTTATCTCTTGTGGGACTCAAGAGAGGTGTTTTCGTTACTTTATCTTTTTCATTTGTAATCTGCTTGTATAAATTTAATTATAGTGACAGCGTTAATCTTCTGTTTGAGTAATTAGCAACTGGACGTAGGGTCTTTTGATCCGAACCAGTATAAATCTCCTGTGTAAGACTCTATTCTTATCTTATTTACGTTTACACAGTATTTTAATCAGTAAAATTTGGGAAAATATTTTAAACCCTAATTTTTGTTAAGAAACCAATTCACCCCCCCTCTTGGTTTTTGTTCGACCACACAAATATTCCGCTGCGCAATTCCAGCAAAAATGTAGTTGTTGATGCTCTCTCTAAGCGTGATATACATGCATGTAATCTAATGATCCATCAAGCACAATCTACGTGGCTAGAGAGAATTAAGTTATTTTGGATAATTGATGTAAGTATACAAAAATTGATTCAAGAGTTACAAAGTGATGTAGCTTCTCACAAACACTACATATGACAACAAGAGGAGGTTGAAAAGGAAGGGAAAATTGGTGGTGGGTCATGATCTAGGGCTACGAACTGAGATGTTGCAATGGGTCCACAATTCACCCATTGGAGAGGACATTCATGGGTGGGTGCTACTTTGAAGATGGTTAAATTTATGCTTTATTGGAGAGATTAACGAAGGATGTTAAGAGGTTTGTTCGAGAATGCACTGCATGCCAACAATGTAAGTATGACTATTTAGCATCTCTAGGGTTGTTGTAGCCACTACCCCCTTCCTGAACACATATGACAACACATTACCATGGATTTCATTATGGGATTTCCCAATTCAAGAGGTAAACAGGTGATTTTTGTGATGGTAGACAAGTTGAGTAAAGCTTCCATGACTTTAACTCACCTATATACAACTAACGATGTAGCTCAAATGTATCTAGATAGTGTTCTTAACCTCCATGGAAACCTAAGTACCATCACTAGTGATCGAGACGCCATCTTCATTAGCCAATTTTGGAAAAAATTTATGTCTTTGTAAGGAGTGCAATTCCAATTATCCTCTCGTTACCATCCTCAAACTGATGGGCAAACCGAAATCATGAATAGGAGTTTGGAAACATATATGAGATACATGTGCTTTACATGTGGTCGAAATGGTTATCATTGATTGAGTAGTGGTACAACACCCCCTATCATAAGCTACCCCATTTGAGATCGTTTATGGATAATCAACCCCATACACCTGCCTTATCTACCAGGAGCATTGAAATTAGATTTCGTGGATCTAAGTTTAGTTAAAAGGGAAGACATGTTGAAGTTAATTAGTTTCATTTTAGCCAAACCTAATGAAGGATGAAACAAGTGGTTGATCGAAAAAGAAGTGATAGGTAGTACAAGGTCGGTCGTTGGGTTTATGTATTGTGAAAACACCAAATTGATATAACACAAGTCATATTAGATGAAATCGACCATTACGTTATGAAGAAAGAAAAAATCCAACTTATATTTCTAACACACATAAATTCCATGTGTATTATGAAAGGGTGACACTCAAACTTTATGGACATCAAGCCACTCATCAACAAAAAATAACATTAATCACAATTGTGTAAAAGAACAAGACCAACAACCACCAACACATGAGTCACCACCACAACAACCATATCATTATACCAACAAAGGCAATTGATGATTCTACATAAGAAACATATCAAGCAATAGTAAAATCCATGGATGACTCATGAGAAGTTCAATGTTTTCTTTGCATGGCTTTGGGACAATTTGATTTTCCTAGGAGGGATAGACCCAATGAGACCTGGAGGAGAGAAAGATATGGATGTCACTCATATTTATGGGAATGATGATATGGGAATGATGATATGGGAAATCAGCAATAAGATGTCAAATTTGGCATAAACATTGAGGCTCATGAATACATTGGTGGAGTTTGAGAAACTTTTGGAATAAAATCGATAGTTGGTTTCTATTTAATGTTTTACTTATTGCTTTTGATACTCTATGTTTTATGTTTCACTTATACTTTAAGTACTTTTCTTTTAATCATGTAATAATTGAGTACTCTTTTGAGTTTATTGTAGTAGAATTGTCATTTTAGGTTATTTCAATTTTGATTGGTTGGAAAAGAGTCAAGTTTTAACCTTGTCTAAATCTAGAATAAAATTTAAGCGCCTGGAAAAAAGTTACACAAAGCATGATTTTTATAATTTAAATTATTTTATAACAATTAAGCATAATTTTTATAATTTAAATGATTTTATAACAAATATGCATAAACTGAATAGGTTGAGTGATTTGAACAAAATAATGTTCTAAGGGAATTTATCCTAAGCCAAGAGGGAATGAGTAATTTAAACATGTTTAAGAGTCTTCACTATTGTTATCAATTATTTTGGTTGATTTTTTATTAATATGAAGTTTGAAAGACATGAAAAAAAATTAAGGCATAATATTGGTTCAAAGTTCAAGCTATAGCCAAATAATCAATCTTGTGATAAAATTTTTCTTCCAAATTTATGGTAATCCATTTGAGTCTATTTTCTTCTCTAAAAGTTATGCATTCAAAACTTACATGAAAAGTTGTATCCTCCATCCTAACAAAAATAGAACATTAGTTGTGCAAAAATGATAATTTGGGTATCAAAGATGTACGTAAGGTTACGAATAAAAAAAAATTGATTTCAATGAAAGTTTTAATCTAAATGAAGGTGGAAATGGTCAAAGGATTGAATGGTAAGCTCATCATGTTAAAAAAAATGAATAAAAAATTAAATTAGTAAATAGATAAAGAGAGATATTTTGGAAGATAAATATTTATTATGAACCAGGACTCTATCTATTTTTCTTGTATCAAAGCTAAGTTTGGACTTTTTTTTCTTTCTTTGAAATCCTTAAGATCCTTGCTCAAACATGTGTATATGGTTTGATTGGAAATAAAAAAACAAAACCAAATTATATGATTTCAATGAGGAAATGAGAGAAATACCTATATGTGAGAAATCTTGAGAAAGTTTCCTTGATTGGAGTTGGTATTTATTTTATTTTTTATTTTTTTTGTTCTTCTTCTTGGTCAAATGTTACATTTATATTATGTTTTTACTTGAATTGAGAGATATCATGCTTATTCATGTTTGTTTTTCATGCGACTAAAATTGCATTTATTCTAGATGATTAACAAGGTAAAGACGAGTCTTTCAAACAAATCTCTCAAAGTTAATAATATGGTTTTGTAATGTTCACATTAAGGACAAGTAAGATTTTAGATTAAGGAGAGTTTGATAGCTTATACATTTAAGAAAGAATAATTATGAATGTAGTATTTTTATGTATTAATTGTATATGTGTAAGACATAATTTTTCTAATTTTATGTTCATGTAATGTGTATCTAGTAAGATCTAAGCTCTAAGTCTTATTTAGTAAGTGAACTGAAATGAAATGACATAAAGCAAGTTGGGAAGAAATTGAAGAAATCCAAAGATGGAGTAGACTTGGACAATAGTCTTGCTGAAATAAGAAAGTCTAGCTTGAGTTAGAAATTATAGCTTAAGTGAGAGCCACAAGCATAAATAATAAAAATCATTACAATATTTTTGCTTCAAAATGACTTTTTTTTTTCTATTAATGCATTACATAGTAATTATGTTCTTAGAGAGAATATTATTATTTCTTCCTTAGATTTAAAAAAAGTGGTATTGTAATTTCTTTTATAGTATAATTTTACTATTGCCTTTTATTTGTTTTAATTATCTTTTATTTTAGTTGTAAGTTTTTATTATTACTATAAATCCTAATAGTGTGGTATCAAATCACTTGGTTGTGATATTGTTGTGCTGCTATAGTTATTAGAATAATGTTGAAAAAAATTCTTAGTATATTTTATGGTTGTAATTAATATTATATTTCATATCATAATATAGTTATTTCAGTTATTAGATATAGAGTGTGATATTTATGATAAGAGTGTCTAAGAAAAATTCTAGCAAAGAAATATTTAATATTTAAATGTGTTTATTTGTGACTTATTTCTCTTTCTTTAGAGTTTACCTAATGTATTAGTTACATTCTAGGCCATAAGATTCACATATTTTGTTTATTTGTTTAAAACAATTTGTGCATCTTTTAAGAGTGTTTTGTGCTCTTGGTAGTTCTAGAAAGAGATTATATAAGAAGAGTGAAAACACTTGAATTCTTCCTTAATTGATCATTTGAATGTGTTGTAATAGATGTAATGAGAAATCCAATCTCTTTTAAAATTAAATGTAATTATCAATCTCTTGAATATAACAAAATATATTTTCTATTTAATAATCTATAATAAATCAACCAAAATATAGTTATATTTGATGATTAATTTATAATTTGATTAAATAAACTCATATATATATATATATATATATATATATATATATATATATATATATATTCTTGGGTAAATGATACAAAATAAAAATAAATATCTGAAATTAATTTTACAAAGATAAAAATAAAAATTTAATTATATTTACGATGGTGTTAAAAAGTCTATAACTAATTTCTCGTAATAATAAAATGTTGATATTTTTTTTAGAAATATATAAAAAATAATATTTTATAAAATGGATTAAAAAGATAATATTTTTACATATAATTTAAGAAAACTAAATGAAAATAATTTAATTTAAATAAGAGGAAAATTAGTTTAATAAAAACATTGTAAATTTAGTTTTATTTCAATATTTACTTTATCGTACTAGCATTAAAGGTATTAAACACTAAATAGGATGCACTTTTTATTAAAGTTAAATTCATAAAATATATAAATATTAGAAATTTAAAAATAAAAAATTTACTATATTAAATAGGATAAAATTTTATTCTTTGTTTGGTAAATGTGAAATAGTGATAAAAATAAAATATGCTAAAATAATTGAAGGGAAAGAAGAAATTAATTCCACTTACTAAGAAAGGACATATTCAAGATAAACTTATTACTATTCCTTGATAAAAATAAAAAAATATGAATGATGATTGCATTGATAATAAAAGAAAAGAAATATTGATTCTATGGATGATAAAGAAAAATAATATTTGATTAAATTTTCTACCAAAAAATAAAAAAAATAATTGATTCTATTTGTTTAACTTGTAATGTTAAAATAAATTTAATCCAATAGGTCAATTTAAAAATATGAAAAATAAATCATATTAGATAAATAATATGTGACGTAAATTAAATTAAATTTATTTTTTTCGACTTATTTAAATTTATATTAACTTAAATGAAGCTAATCCATAGATTTATAGATTAACTTTTTATATATAAGATAATAATAATTTTTTAAATAAAATAAAATAAAATAAAATTATTTTATTATATATATATATATTATACATTATTAAGGAATTCACTTATCTTATAAAGTAAATATAAAATAAATTTTTTAATATTAACTTATTTTAAAATTTAATGATTAAAATAAATTATTATTTTAAATTAATAAGTTATTAAAAAAATGATAATAAAAAAATGGATAATAATAAAAAATAGGTTTCTAATTCTTATCTTGATAAATATTTTTTTATAATATATTTATTAAATAATTATATTTAAAATAAAAAATAATTTTATTAATATATATTTTTATTTTTATAATTAATTATTTTAATATAAACACATTAATATTTTTTTAAAAATTTAGATCAAAATTCACTCTTTAACTAGTTGACGTAATAAAATGTTAGAATATGAAAAAAAAATTATAATTCATTAATAAATATAACGTACTGGATCAACTTTTGAACAGTTTAACTCAGCGATATGAGAATAGAAAAAATAATCAATATATCCTTCCATTATATGCCGCAAAGCTTATGATACAAGAAAAGAAAAACCAATAAGAAATAAGAAATATAATTTATTATATTAAAAAAATATTAATTATACTATTGTTTAAATAAAGAAAGTTATTTTCTTTTCTGTTTTAATTTTTTAATTAAGTTTACCCGTAGATATTAAACTTTTTTTTTCAAAAAACATACCCGTATCCTCGATATTATAAATGTGGAGTGTCTGAACTAAATAAATAATTATATTCTGTTCATTATAAATTATTAGATGTTAAGAAAAACTATCAAATAAAAACCTGATAAGGAAGAAATAAAAAAATGTATCAAAATTATTATTTTCTTTATTTACAGTCTAAATTTTTTTATATTTATTTATTTATTCATATTTTTTTCTTTAAAAGTGTTTGTTTTCAAGAAATTATATTTTAACCTCTAGCTATATGTTCTCCTAGTAGTGTTTTTGATAGCTATAGAATTATATTTGATGAGCCCCAGATCTATCCGAATAACACGCGTTGTGTGAAAACCCGTAATATCCACGGAAACACTAAATTCTCATCCTCCTTCTATTTTAAGGTTTTAATAACATTACAAACAAAAATCCTCAAGAAAAAAAATAAAATAAAAATAAAAACACAAGGAGCGTGTTCATGACGAGTTCAACTACTTTCTCTCTCTGCTTCTCCTTTCTTTCTCTCTCTACAACAAAATTGATTCCAAATTAATTAGCATGGTCGCTGTCAGAAAAATGGGTTCCATGCCCGCATACATACACTCTTCTCCCTCCCTTTAACTCTCTTTCGTTTTTTTTTTCTATCATTCTCTTTGATTTTATTTGTTATGAAGTTACTCGCTCCTGGTTCCATTGCCTTTTGTTCTTATTCGTTTTCATGGAACACCCATTTCTCAGGTCTTCATTCTACTCCTCTTTTTCTTTTAAGGGGAATTGAGTGAATGGTTGTTGAGAATTAATGTTTTTTAATTTTCTTTTTGTTCTTTTGGGTTTGAAAAATTGGAGCAGGTGCTAGTGGGAAATTTGGAGAAGAAGGTTTTGGTGATAAGAACGAGTTTAAGGTTGTTGTTTATCTTAATGGGGAAAAGTGAAGATGGACGCTGCATTTTTCCTCTTACGAGTTTTCAAATTGGGTATATTTTCTTGCTTCTTTTTGTCGTATTCTTATTTAGCTCTGATGATGTGCCATCATGGTTTGTTGGAATTTTTTATCACATGATTACCGAATGGCTTCTGTTGCTAAATTGATGTTGGATTGAATGTATTTTTTTGTTTACTTCTCCTGTTAAAGGTTTTGGATTCCCCCACCCCCGTTCCCTGTATTTTAAATTAAATTTTGTTGGTTCTTTCATGATCATATGCTTTGTGCAGCGTTGTGCGTCTTTTCTTTTTGTGGATAAATTTGTATTTGAATTGTGAGTTCACTGATGGTGTTTTATAGTTAATATCTGCAAATAATAAAACCATGCTCTTTTAAAGAACATATATGGTAATGTTCTGAACTCTGTTGCCCTTTTTGCCTGCATTGAATCAGTTGAAAATTGATGAATTGAACCATGTTTTCTGGTTTCTGAAGATGCAATGGATCAGTAAAATTCTTGGCAATGGTCATTATTTAATTTTCAATTCTTTCTGCGTGTAGATTGTCATCATGCAAGTCACTTTTTACATTATCTTGTATAATATATCGGGTGGGACTATTGGAAAATGTGGAACTGCAACAGCTATTGTTTCTACTTAACTTTTAGTTACAGGAACTTAATGATTTAGCACATCAACTTTTTAAAAAATTTCTTTGGCTAGCCAAAAGAAATTTCTGCTGCCACTGGTTGGTTGTTCTCTGCTGTATTTGGATTGATCAATGATGCTGGGTTAGCAGAGTTATTTTGTTTCTGTTTTTCTCATGCTGATTTATTTCTTCTTTGTCGTGTATTCTGCAGAGACTTGCAATCTTATTTTGCAGATCTTAGCCTTTTCCTCGCAAATGATAGCAAAAAAATGTATATTTTGGTTGACAACAGACCATGGTTGAGTGACCTTGGTTCACGGGGCATACACATTTGGCAATTGATGGTTACTAAGGTTTGTAAACTCAATTATTTGAAGTGATTTACATGCAGTTGTTGTCTTAGAAGAAGGATTATATTATTTTTATGCTTCTGCAGTCAAGGCTATCTCCCTTTGCATATTCCAAAGCTCGAAGAGAGAGGAACGGAGGCAAGGAGGTTTGTCCTCAATCAAGCTCAAGTAATCCAAAGAAATTTATGAGTTGGTTCTCATTGATTGAAGCAGTGGTGTTATCCAGGAAGAGAACTCTGCTGCCTGTGAAAAACCTAAGGAATTCTTTACAATTGAGCAGTGAACTGCATAGAACTCTCTATGGTTTTATTGTATTTGAAGTTGCATGGACTAGTGTTCGTGGTATCAACTACTATAACGACCTTCAGGTACTACATCTCTTTGGCATGTTTCTTTTTATTTTCTCAGTTAATTCTGTAAGTTATAATTTATTGAGTTATTTCATTTGTTTTGCAGACTGATACGTCACTGGCTATAGAAGCTAAAATGATGAAAAGATGGGAATTTGACAATATTTCTCAAGCTGCAAGCTGCGTGCCTTCATGGTTCTCAGGAACCATTTCTGAACAGATGCTTTTAAAAGAGCACCTGGATTCTGCCGCAGGTGGTGATAAGGATTCTCATCATTTCTTTCTTACCTAGTGTGCATAATGCATATAAATTTAGGATAGTCTTGATGTCTGAAGCAGTTGTATTTCATGTGAGTAGAAATATACTAATGTATGAAGGAGATGCATGCACCTATTTGTATTTCATGCAAGTATAAAAATACTTATATGTGTATGAAGGACTTGCATGCATATCTTGCTTGACACATGCACTTACACATATAATAGAAATTACTATGTTTGAACGTGTTAGATGTATTTTATATATGGGCCCTAGGCCCATCTCTATGTATTCCTATGTACATTATATATGTTCCTTGATTGTGTTTGAGACACAAGGATTCCATTACATGACACTCTACAATTTATTTCAACATGGTACGTAGAGCCTAATCCAAATCCTTGCCTCCTCCATGGACCCACTGTCCATCCATGTCAAATCTTTTTCAAAAATCATGTCTCATTCCAAATTCCGGCCTTTTCCTCTTTGTTGAGCCCCTTTTTCTTCCCATTTTCCTCTCTTTTCCGTTGCTGCCACTGTCGGCCATTGTGCCACCACCTTTCAGACTGACAACCACACTCTAGAATTGTGCTGGTCAAGTGAATTGAACGCTTCCGGAATATCAATCATTGAAGCTTTAATGCACCCTCATGTGTGCTATCTCCTTCCATTGCTGCACATGGTGGTGTGTTCGACCACTTTTCCAGCTGATCTCGATAGAGCCGGAATCGCCTTGCTCTCCTGTTCTTTGATTTATTCTTGGTTGTGTTTGGGGCTTGTTTTCCGTATCACTCTTTTCTTGGGACCTGATTTTCTCTCCTCGTCATGTGTTCTCGCTCTTCCAAGGGTCCATTCTTTCTTCTAGTGCTACTAAGCTTGATTCCTCTATTTTTTCTATGTCAATGTCCAACTCTCTATTGACAAGTTAGATGATAATAATTGTGATACTTAGGCCTCTTATATTAAGCTGTAGATGAAGGGACAAGATTATGTTGACTATCTTACCGAGATAATGACCTCCATTGATGAAAAGATCTCCTTTGGCTGTTTAAAATAGATGCCCAACTTTGTAATGTTTGAAGTCAACTATACTCATAGAAATCAATTGCATTACCAATTTACATAGAATACCGAAACTGAAACAATATGACACCATGAACATCATAAACATTAGACCCTCCAAGTTACCGAGAGCTTGATCTCTCCCTTTCCCAGAATTTTTTTTTCTTCCCCTCCCTTTTCCTCCTACACTTTCTTATTTTCTGCTGACACCTATAATTGCCTAAAGGCAATTATGCTTGCCCCCTAATAAAACATTAAAACTACTAAAATAGTTAAAAAATTGTCAACAAGTACTAATAACTGTCTTATTTACTGCAAAACACTATTTTTGGTTTCTACTTTTATAATGTTTACTTATAAGGGGTCTAACAATAATCGTCCCAAAAGAGTCACCTTTTCCTCAAGGTGAAATGAAGGAAACTGGTGCATGATAGTCTCCATTGATTCTCAAGTAGCTTCAAATTCTGGCAGATCAGTCCATTGATTGAGCACCTTTGCAGTCCCATTGGGTGAGTTGCGCATGACTTTCACAGAAATTGGGGTGACTTGTAATTCCAGTTCTACGGATAACATAAGTGGTAGAGGTTGAGGCATTATGGAGTGTTATGATGGAGTGCTTACCACTTGGCCAAAAACTATAGCTATTAGTCAGAGCACAACTCTTTTTACTTAAGAGTAACAGTGCAAGCGCTACGATTCGATTGTGACTCAGCCCACCCGGCTTCCGCCACGGGACAATTGATGCTACCTGCAACAATCTCCCCTCAGCAATTGTCCTACAAGGAATCCCACTCTTGGATTATGACTCGGCCCACCCGGCCTCCGCCACGGGACAATTGTGCAACCCGCAACAATCTCCCCCTTAACAATTGCCCACCAGGAATTGATCTCGTGACCTTGACTCTGATACCAATTGTTAGGATCGAGCGCTTACCACTCTGATGGAAAAAAAACGTCATAAAGAACATTACCATTTATTCCCGAGAATTACCCTACTAATAGAGAAATAAGATAAAAATAATCAACACAAGAATATAACGTGAAAACTACAAAAACTGGAAAAAAATAACGACCGTTATCTAATGATAACTAGAGAATAACACTATGTGAAAATTTTTACAACACATAGACAACTCTCTTATGCCCTTGACCCCAAGTACACCCACACTCTCCAAAGCAAAAATTTCACAACGCTCTACTACAAGAGTATAAGAAAAAAAAGTCAAATACAAGCTTAAAGTGTCTTTGACTGGGGTGAGAAACCTCATGGACTTTAAGCCTATTATATAGCTACTATCACCCACTCCATTGCTTATCCAATGTGATGTGGGACTTTTCAAGATATAATATTTTCATCAACCCAACATGGAGTGCAATACAGTAATGAAACATGGAACACAGGTGAATCTTACTTTCTGGTGGAAGGGCTAATTGGAAAGCAACAGTTCCAATCTGTTTTGTGATCTAATATGGGCCATAAAAATGTGGACTTAGCTTCTCAGTCGCTTCCTAGCCAAGGATCGTAATCAATAAGGCTGTAACTTAAAGATATAGCCAAATTACCAGTAGGAAATGGTGAAGAGCGTCTGGATTGGCCAACATACTTCTTCATCTGATTTTGTGCTTTGGCCAAATTCTCCTTCAGGTCATGCAACATTTGATCCACATCATGGGTCATCATGTTCACCTCCTCCACAACCGAGGGATTGGTGGCAGCCTTGAGATGGGGTGGATCTATTCCATATAATGCCTTGAAAGGAGTCAATTGTAGAGAGCTGTTGTAGTTAGTGTTGAACCAAAATTCAGCCCAACTTAACCACTTAGGCCATTGCTTCAATTGAGTGCTAGTGAGACACTTAAGATAAGTCTTCAAACACCGGTTGACCATATAACAAACTTTTTCCATGAGATCCTTTAATGTACCTTAATATACAGATGACTGCATTCCAATGATCTGCATATCGGGAATTAAGAAATTGACTCACCACACTGACTGCAAAGGAAATGTCGAGACAAGTAATAGTAAGATAATTTAATTTTCCAACTAATCTTCTATACTTCTCTGGATTTGAGAGAGGCTCCCCCTAATTAGGCAGGAGTTTGGTATTGGGATCCATGGGTTTATCAACAGATTTTCAGTTCATCAAACCTAGTTTCCTCTAAAATATCCAATGCATAATTTCTTTGAGATATAACAATACCATTATTATCTCAATCCCCAAGAAATATCTAAGTTTTTCAAGATCTTTAGTCTGAAAATGGTGACAAAGGTGTTGCTTCATCTAGGAGATGCCATGGTGATCACTCCCTGTACGAACAATATCATCAACGTATACTATTAAATAGATACACTTAGCAATTGAGTGACAGTAAAAGACTGAATGATCTACCTCATTACAAGTCATACCAAACTGTTGAACAACTGCTAAATTTTCCAAACCAGGCCCTAGGAGACTGTTTTAGGCCATATAAAGATTTGTGAAGATGACATACCAATCTAGAAGACTCCCTGTGAGCATCAAAACCTGGAGGTTGCGTCATATAAATTTCTTCCTGCAAATCTCCATTAAGAAAAATATTTTTGACATCCAGTTAATAAAGAAACCATTGTTGAAGAACAACCATGACTATAAATAAGCAAACAAAAGCCATCATTGCCACTAAAGAAAAAGTATCACCATAGTCCAAACAAAAAATTTATGTGTAGCATTTGGCCACAAGATGAGTTTTGAGACGGTCAATAGTACCATCAGGGCCAACTTTGATAGCAAAAATCCACCTGCAACCAATAACAGATATCCTAGACGGTAATGGGACGAGCTCCCAAGTTCCACTATTATAAAGAACATTCAGTTCATCAAGCATGGCCTGACGCCAACCAGGATGGGCTCAGGTATCACCTATGGATTTGAGAATTGACGCAAAAAAAATAGACGAAAGACAGGTATAAAAAGGTGGAGATAATCTATGGTAACTCAAAGCTGTATAATGAGGAGAGACTACAAGTAGAACGTATACCTTTACATAGGGCAATTGGAAGGTTAACTTAGCTGTCAGAGCCGGAGGAGACGAAGGAGTTGACACTAGAAGTGAGTCATTTGGTGGTTGTTGGGATCGCTGTTTTTGATTATAAACCTGAAGTAGTGGTGGCGGAGGAGAATCCGAAGATGGACTAGGCACAACAGGAGGATCACACACAACAAAAATATTGACGGTAGCAAACGGAGACACACAGAGAAGAAAGACACTTAAAGTAAAAATAAAACTCATTAAAGGTGACATATGTAGAAATAACATAACGGTTAAGAGAACGAGAGAAACACTTATATCCTTTTTGTGATCGAGTAAATCGTAAAAAAACACATTTGCGTGATCTAGGAGATAATTTATCAAGACCAGGACTAAAATTATGAACAAAACATGTAGATCCAAAAACTTTAAGAGGTAAGGGATGTAGAGGTTCATGAGAAAATAAAAGAGAATGAGGAATTTTAGATTGTGTATAGAGTATAGAGTTATTTTGGACACTTGTGAACTTATTTGGCTAAAACAATTACTTAAATAACTAGATTTTGGGAGATTTCACAAATGACATTCACTTGTGATGATCACGTTGCCGTTAATTGTCTCAAATCCAATATTCCACAAGAGAATCAAATATATTGAGAGAGATTTCTATTGCTTCCGTGAAATGATTTTATCTAGAGATACCACTACTTAGTTTGTTAGCCCCAATGATTAGTTGGCAGATGTCTTTACCAAATTATTACGTGGTCTTAGAATTGACTATATTTGTAATAAGCTTGGTGCATATAATTTATATGCACCAGCTTGAGGGAGAGAGTTAGATGTATTGATTATATATGGACCCTAGGCTATCTCTATGTAATTCTATGTGCATTATTTATGTGTTCCTTTGTTGTGTTTGAGATGCACAAGGATTCTGTTACATGAACTCTATCATTTACTTCAACAGAATGGTTATAAAATTTGGAAAAAATAAGGGGAAAAGAAGGACCTCATCCCCACTTAATCTTCCCTCAAAGTATCCAATCTTATGTTTCCTCTCTGTGGGGTGGGGTGATGGAATAGGGATGCTTTTATGCAAAAGGTTTTAACCTTTTCCATTCCTGACTTTTTAACTTATAACCCTTTACCTCTTGTTCTATTGTTTTTTATAAACCATTGTTTTGTTGTGGCTATCAACTTCCACACATAGCCTAATCGTGGAACATATTGCATTTTTTCTTGCATTATAGAAACTAAAGGCTACAGAAATTCTTTAAATACTGATGCAACGATTTTCCTATGAACACTGCTTCTTTGTCTGCAATTATAACAGGGGAAATATTTTATGATGCTAGAGAAGATTTTTCTGGTGCTGTGTCCGTTGATGATGATGATGATGATGATAATAATAATAATGTCTGCAGAATTCTCACTGTTGAAGATAGTTTGGGTACCAATGTTGGAGTATGTTCTGATCATACAGAAGAGGCAGCAGATATGCTACACAGACCTCCTCATTGTGGACCTTATAAGAGAAGAAAGTTAATGAATTCCTTTAGTGCTGAAGGTGAAGTTGATCTTTCCTCTGCAGCTGAAATTGATAACTCATTGGATTATTCTCAGACATCTAGCTGCTTTTCTGATGATAATGTTGAAGCCACTGAGGATGATTTAGTTGAAACCACTCAAGATGATCCAGTTAAAGCAACACAATATAGTGATGTTCTACTGTTATTTAGGTTTGATGATCATGACCTCCCTTTTAAATTGAGGGACGTCATCGTATCTGATCTGCGATTGCTTACTTTGTTGGAGGCTGGTCTTCCATCTTGGGTCATCTTCCTTCAGTCATATCCAGTGTTATGCAATCTTTATCGGCCTTGGATGTGCCCACTTGCAAGACTGTTATATGTTTTAATATCGTTTGTTACTGTTCTCATTGGATTTTATGATTTATACAAAAATGTTCCTGTTCTTAAGGCAACTGCATCTCGTATATGTGGGCCTCTTCTTGATTGGATTGAAACTTGGGAGATGGTTTCAAGGGTCAAATACTTAGGGACAATGCTGTTTCTACATAACTTCCAGAAGGCTGTTAGGTGGTTTCTTGCCTGTACACATACTATGCGAACATTTTTTTCAGTTCTTGTTCAACCTCTTGTAGAATCACTGGTGGAGATTTTTGGATTTCTTCTCCCAAGCTTGAAATTTTTGTTTGACATAGCAGAAAGCATCTTTTCCGTCATTTGGCTCATAGTTGACACTTCTTTTGATATAGTGGGAAATGTACTGGAGCTACTCTTTTCACCATTTTGGTTTGTCTTCAGTGTCGTTTGGAGCATTGGTAAGTCATTATATGTTTTAGTTTACTGGTACTGTCTGTTATTTGTAAAGCTTTTCCTTTCGTTTTGCCAACATAAATTCTCATCTTCTGTTGTACTAACTGCCTTCATTTACTTCTTTCGAATATACTGCAGCTACATGTATCTTATATCCTTTATTTTGGGTTATCTGGGAATTACTATATGCTCCTGTTCGTCTTGTCCTGATGATATTCAGTTTTGTGCCTTCTACATGTTCGTGCATCTGTAATACGCTTGGCAGCATGTGGCAATTTGTTAGTAGCATTTTTCAGTTTGCATCTTCTGAAGCAACAGTCAGTGCCTCTGAAGTTTCCATGTGGCGTACACTTTGGAATGATCTTTTTTCCCAGGTTGTAAGATGGCATATTAATAGTATTTTGGACGCAGGGGTTTTCATTAAAGACTATCCTGATTAGTAGATTTTTTTCTTTTTCCTTTTCCAGATTTTCCGTGCTCTCAAGAGCATACTCTATGGGTTTGTTGCCTTTTTCACAGCCTGCAATAGGCATCGACTAAGGTATGTTTATATTCTGTTTTTAACTTGATGAACATAAAATGACATTGTCGAGTAAAATGTTGGTTGTGTGATGGTTGAATATATGAATTGTAGGACAGTGGTTAGTAAACATGTCTTGATCAATTGTGGCTGCCTGTAATTTTGGTCACATGAGCAATTTTAATTTTAAGAGCAAGGTGTTGCTGGTGAACTATAAATATTGTTGATGTGTACTTATTTTATTAAATTTCAAGGAAAACCTGGTCACTTTTTGGTATAATGAAAAAAGTAGTACCGTAAATGAAGCAAGTTATTACTTATTTTAGGAATAGGGATTGAGTTAGAACAGAACATATACTTTTGCTGAGTTTAAGAACTGTGAATCCAAATCTATATTTTACAGAGATGGCAAAATTTCCATAGTTAAGTATTGTGATAAATATATGAGCAAGGAAAAAGAAATTAAAGGGTAGAAATTTATTTATTCCACATGAAAGAAAGCTAGATAGTTTTAGCTTTATAAATTTATAGTGTGGGTGAGTGTATTACTCAGCTATTGTAATGTCACAGTTGTCAAGAAAAGGCCGTTACTAGTTAGTAAGAGTTAGTTACAGGTTTCCTTATAGAAATACTGTTAATGTAACAGCACAAGGCATCAATTTATTTCATTCAATAAACTCAAGTTTCTTTTCTCAATTTTTTCTGAACCCTATTATGGTATGGAATCTAGTGCTTGCGATCCCTAGATGGCCAAATCTTCTCCTTCATTGTTGACAACAATGGCTTCCAATGCTCTGGTGACCTTCTCTCAGTCCATCTCCTCCGTGCAGATTGATGAGAAGATTTTACTTCTATGGTGCCAAATGGTTGAATATATCAAAGTGCTTTAACTATCATTTTGCGGTTTTGATGAAAGGGATATCTCTGTTTAGAGGCAGAGAGAACCTCCTAAGCAGGACTAAGAGAGAGAAGAGATTGACATAAAATTCCCCTACTCATTCCATTCCTTCCCATCATGTAAATACTGAAAGCAATAACAGAAAAGTGCTAATGGTAAAAACAAAAACACAGAATAAAATCTTCCCCTAACAAATTCCTTCTAGAATGAATCCTATTGACAAATTAACACATCAGCTAATGCACATAATTATCCCAATCTTTGGGTCTTTTGCTGATATGTTTGGATTTGGACTCATCCTTGGCATTCTCTATCTCAGCAACATCTTCATTGGGCTTTGACAGCAATTAGGCCTCTGGTTGATTTTGGACAGCATTCCTAACAGGTTTCTCCTAAATTCCATTGCGATTTGTTACTTCATCCAATCGCAATGAAGAAATTTGAATCCTGCATGCTTGGGAATAGCATGAACAGATGCTACACAGGTGGCTGGAATAATCCTTAGTATGTTCGATCCTCACATGTAGGATGTATTCATTCTTATGAACTTTTGGGATCGACTACACAATTACTTCCAAAAGTAAAACTCTCACACCAACTTGAACTTCCTCTGCGTGATGATTCCTGAAATTGCTCATTGTCAGAGTTCTTGCTTTGAATCTGCCGTAAACAATATCGGATAACGGCACGGTGTGGCTGCCCTTGGAAACCACTATAGCAGCGATAGAAGTAGCAAGATGCCTGCTATTTATACCCCTAAGTAGATTTATATTGCATAATAAAGTAAAACACTTGGAATTAAAAAATATTCTGATCAAGTTTCATAGGCAAAAGGTCTTAAACAAAAAAAGCTGCAAAACAACTTGTTGAGAATATATGCCTGATATCGTAATTTGAATTAGTTTTTAGGAGGTTTTCTTTGGCATGTTTCAATTTTTAAAATATTGTTCAGACAAAAAGAAAGATATTGTATTATTGTTTAGATTGGTATATTATTAGTGTTTGACCTTTTTTGGTACATTTTTTCTCTCCTTATATAGAATCCATGAACAAAATTTTATTGAAGCTCCTCCACATAATACATCTCTTGTCATTCTAAAATATATTTTTTAAACATAAAAGCCAACGAATATGTCTCAATAGCTATCTTCCGAGGGATTTGTGACATTAAGTGAGTCTACCCATAATTTCTAAACACAAACCTAATATTGTTAGGATGAATCCTGAAGGACCATCCAACTCATTTGCACCATTCTAAAGGAAAAATAGAAGGCAAGTCACTTGACCATACTCCTCACATATGAAGGATTCCATATTTAAACATGGGATAAAGAACAATCTATGGTCACGGTCTGGCTATAAGACTCAATGATCCAAAAAATTAGTAATACGTGTATGTTTCTCAACTCAGCAAAGAGATATGGAATGCAGTAGAGGAGACTTACTCCAAAGCCAATGACATTGCTCAAATATTTGACGTAACAGTGAGGGCTTTGGCAACAAAACAGGGAAACAAAACTGTTACTCAGTATCCTAATCAACTTAAGTCATTATGGATGGAGCTGGATTATTACAAGGTCGTAAAAAACTACATGTTCAGAAGATTGTCATAGTTAAGGAATATATTAAGCAGGATAGTGTTTACGAATGTTCATTCTACTTAAGTCAGAGTTCAATTTTGGGAAAAGAGATAGTCATAAGGTTTAATGAGGTAGTGGCAATTATTCATAGTGAGGAAAGTAGGAGAGGGCCTAATGTTGGAGGCATCTGTTGTTGAAAATTTGGCTGTGATGGTTGATAGGACCTCAACCGTGGTTGTTGAATAGAAAATGGAGAAATGGCTATTGTGGAAATGAACAAGGAAGGGTTTGGTGTACTGAATTCAACAAGCCTCATCATACTTGAGAAAAATGCTAGAAGACTATTGAAAGGTATACTATATAAAATACAAGATTGACGGGTCTATTTAGAGGTACAAGACAAGGTTGGTGATTGAAAGGTTCACTCAAAACTAGTGGATTACTTGGAAACATTTGCTTCAGTTGCTAAGATGAATATAGTTAGGGTGATATCATCTGTAGTTGCTAATTATGGTTGAAACTTGCAATAATTTGATGTAAAATATACCTTTCTACATGGAGAACTTAAAAGGGAATTTACATGGAATTTACCCATTGATACGATGAATAGGTTGCTACCATGTTGTTTGCAAGCTAAGAAAGGCTTTTGGTGTGAGATTGGTCAGTCAATTCATGAACCAATTGAAGAAGACTCACTTGCTAGCCATACTTAAAAGGAACCTCGGGAAAGAGAATTCTATTCAAACAAAACGATAGTGAGACTTGCAACATATATAGATAATGACTATTCAAAGCCAATTGTGGATAAGAGGTTGTTGAAAGTCTCACATCACCTACTTCATGTCATTTGGTATGGTTTAAATACATGTTAGGATATTCCACATATTGTCAATTGGTTTTATGTTGGAACCTTAACATGGTATCAGAGCCAAAACCTAACATCTTTCTGATTATTGTCTTGGGCCAAGAGTTGTCTTTTCGTTGTGGGTCAAAAGTACCCTTTGCCTTGTCTGACAGACTTCGTTGGAGGGGACGTGTTGAAAGTCCCACATCGCCTACTTCATGTAATTTGGTATGGTTTAAATACATGTTAGGATACTCCACATATTGCCAATTGGTTTTATGTTAGAACCTTAACATCTGGAAAATTAGATTAAATGAAATCTTATTTTATTATTTTAATACAAAGAGATCATACAATATATATACAGGAGACCTAAGCTATTTTAGGAAATATAATAACTCTATTTTATTCTAGGATCCCTTGATTTATGAGGTTGTTCCTAATTATTCAAATCTGTATAGATTACAAATTTCCTAATTTATTCTTTCCTAAAATACTATTTGATTTCCCACACTCCCCCTCAAGCTGGTGAATAGGTGTTTTTCATTCCTAGCTTGGATACAATCTTCTCAAAATTGTGGCAGTCTAGTCCCTTGGTAAGAATGTTTGTAATTTGGTCTTGAGAGGACACATATGGAGTGCATATCAAGCCACTATCAAGCTTTTCTTTGATGAAATGTCTGTTTACTTCAATATGCTTTGTTCTATCATGCTGCACTGGGTTGTGGGCTATGCTGATTGCTGACTTATTATCACAATAGAGTTTCATAGGTTCTTCCCATTTTATCCTCAAGTATTCTAAGATGATTTTAAGCCATAACAACTCACATATACCTTGTGCCATGGCTCGGAATTCTGCTTTAGCACTAGACCGAACCACTATACCCTGCTTTTTGCTTCTCTAAGTCACAAGATTTCCTCCAAGAAAGGTGCAATATCCTGTAGTTGATCTCCTATCCACAATTGACCCTGCATAATCAACATCAATATAGGCTTCAAGCTTCACATTACTATTCCTTTTGAATAGAATCCCTCTTTCTGGAGTTCCTTTAAAGTACTGTAAAATTCTGTGGGCTGCTTGTAAATGGGTCTCCTTTGGGTTATGCATAAATTGGCTAATTAAACTCACTGCATAGGCAATATCTGACCTGCTATGCGACAAATATATAAGTCTGCCCACTAATTGTTGGTACATATCTTTTTCAACAACAACATCTTCTGCTTTTCCAAGCTTTAGGTTTGGTTCTAATGGGGTACTAGCATGTTTGCAAGCTGCCTTGCTAGTTTCCTTGAGCAAATTAGTGATGTATTTCTGCTGGGATATAAATATCCCTTTCTTGGAGTGGGCAACTTCAATTCCCAAAAGATATTTTAGTTTTTCCAAGGTCTTGATCTCAAATTCCTTGCCTAAGCATTGGCTCAACAATTGTTGCTCTTCTTTATTATCTCCAGTTAATATTATGTCATCCACATACACCAATAATATTGTTACTCCCCCTGCCTTAGAATGTTTAAAGAACAAAGTATGGTAGGTCCCCTTGGCTTTGTTTGTAACCCGGACCTGTCATAACTTTAGTAAACTTGCGAACAGTGTTGACAACAACATCTCTACCATATCTCGGAGGTATCTCCATATAAATTTCTTCTTCAAGGTCTCCATGTAGGAAAGCATTCTTAACATCAAATTGTTCCAAGTTCCAACCATAATTGGCAGCAAGGGACAATATCCCCCTAACTGTGTTCATTTTGGCAACCGGAGCAAAGGTCTCCAAATAATCAACTCCATTGGTTTGGTTGAACCCTTTGGCAACTAATCTTGCCTTATATCTCTCAATTGATCCATCAGCCTTGTATTTCACTATATAAACCCACTTACATCCAACTGGCCTCTTTTCTATTGGTAAGGTGACTAACTCCCAGGTGTTGTTCTTCTCCAATGCTTCCATCTATACATCCATAGCTTGCCTCCATTTTCTGTCAGACAATGCCTCAGATAGGGTATTAGGTAGAAGTATAGTGTTTAGGTTTACTAGGAAGGTTTTATGGGTAGGAGAGAAATTTTTAAAGGATAGATAATTTGAGAGAGGGTAGAGTTGCTGTTTGGTGCATTTTCTTGTCCCTTTTCTAATGGCAATTGGAAGGTCAGAATCATTTTGGGTTTCAATTTCAACCTGCACAACTGGAGAAAAAATTGTTACCTCTTTTTGTGGAGTCGAGTTGGATTTTTGAACATTGCTTGATCCTAGAATGGCCTTAGTCTTCCTTGAGTAGACCAGCTTCTTACCAAATTTTCTAGCTTCAACATCTTCTTGATCAACTTCACAATTAATTTCACTTTCTTGACCAACTTCCTTTTCTTGACCAATTCCTTGACTTGTTTCACTTGTTACAACTTCAATTTGATCTCGTTTAGGTTCAAATATCAAGTCTGAAAGGATGGGAAAACCAGAAATACTACTTTCAATTTGATCTCGTTTAGGTTCAAATATCAAGTCTGGAAGAATGGGAAAACCAGAATTACTACTTTCCTTATCTTCCTTATCTTCCCTGAAACTCTCCCCCTGAAGATAAAGTTGATGGAAATAGCTCTCTTGTTCATTGAAGGTAACATCCCTAGACACAAAGAATTTTTTGGATGGGGGGTGGTAGCATTTATACCCTTTCTGAGTGGGTGAGTAACCAACAAAGACACACTTTAAGGCTCTAGGATCAAATTTCCCTCTGTCTGTACTATGAATATGGACATATGAGATGCACCCAAAAACTCTTAGTTTAAGACTATTTGTAGTGGACAGGTTTGGATAGAAAAACGATAAAGCTTCCATAGGGCTTTTTGATCCTAAGACTCTACAGGGTAGTCTATTGATAAGGTATGTTGCTATAAGGACAGTTTCTCCCCAGAAATTTTTTGGGACATTTTTTTGGAACAACAATGCCCGAGTCTGATTTAATAGATGTCCATTTTTCCTCTTTACGACCCCATTCTGCTGTGATGTTTTGACACAAGAGGACTCATGAATTATACCTTCTTTTTGACAAAAAGAATTAAGGACATGATTGAAGTAATCTTTGGCATTATCTTACCTAAGCCTCTTAATATTAACACCAAACTAATTTTTTATCAAGGAGTGGAAGTTTAGTAAGACAGAACTGACTTCTGATTTTTGTTTAAGTAGGAAAACCCAAGTGACCCTTGTACAGTCATCTATAAAGGTGGCAAACCATCGAGCACCAGACACATTTGGAACATTAGAAGGTCCCCATACATCAATATGAACAAGATAAAAAGGAAAATTGCTAATTCTATTACTTGTTGGAAAAGATACACATTTGTGCTTAGCAAGTTCACACACCTCACAATGAAGACTCTCAACATTTAACTTGGTAAACAGAGAGGGAAACATAATTTTGATCACTCCAAAAGAGGGATGTCCCAACCGACAATGATAAAGCATGATTTTTTCTCTGTTGGTCATCAAGGATTCAGATATGAAGGAGTGAGAGATTCTGTTCTTACTGGAAAGACTTGGATCTTTGAGATAATAAAGGTCATTCCATTCTCTAGCATGTCCAATCATCCTCCTCGAATCTTTATCCTGAAATACACAATGATTGTTGAAAAAAACAACTTTACATGACAAATTCTTTATAAGTTTTTTTATAGACACTAGGTTGGTGGACAACTTTGGGACATGGAGAACATCTTTTAAGGTTATTAAATGATTGATTTGAATATTTCATTGACCAGCTACAGTTATAAGGGTTCCATCTGCTGTGGCGATTTTCTTGTTGCTGGGACATGGGGAATATGTGGAGAAGTGTTTGGCTAATGGTGTCATGTGGTCTGTGGCTCTAGAGTCCAATATCCAATAATGGTTAAAAGGTGTATCTGAGACATTTAATCCAAAAAAAAGTGGAAACTTACCTGAGTATGGCAAAGAACACACACCTGTAGGTTTTTCCAGCTTACTAAGAAAGGTTCTCACCCTTTTTATCTCCTCTTGGTTAAGATGGACAACAACTTCTGGATTATTTCCTTCATTTGTTTCAGCAGCAACATAAACTTGTCCTCTTTTCCTTAAGGAGCCTCCTCTGTGTCCCCCTCATCGATATCAATTTAAAGGCTTCCTATATAACTTCTAGCACTTCTCTCGAGTATGACGAGACTTATTGCAGTAGGTATTCCAGAGACCATCACCTTTCTTCTCCACATTTGTTGATCCTCCTTTCTTCTCTTCGGCTACCCCATTTCTATTCAACATTGTACTTCAAATAATTTCTTCCATTTAGTCTATATGCAGAATGGATATTCTGCAGTTCTCCAGATTATTGGGATTGGGTATTCCCTGTTTCTGGGGTTGGGTTCACAACTTCCTCTTCCCTTGACATTATAGCAAGAAGGTGCGATGCAACAGCAATGCAGGCTACCGTCTTAGGGTTAAGAAAAATGCAGCAGCAATGCAAGCTGCCGTCTTAGGGTTAAGAAAAATGCACAACAATATAGGCTGCCATCTTAGGGTTTATAGTGCGCAGACAGAACTTCCTAGATCGGAAGCTCGATACTATCCGGAAAATTAGATTAAATGAAATTTTATTTTATTATTTTAATACAAAGAGATCATACAATATATATATATAGGAGACCTAAGCTATTTTAGGAAATATAATAACTCTATTTTATTCTAAGATCCCTTGATTTATGGGATTGTTTCTAATTATTAAATCTGTATAGAATTACAAATTTCCTAATTTATTCTTTCTTAAAATACTATTTGATTTCCCACATAGGTCAACATGATGGCTTGGAAAAGTAAAAAACAATGTGATAGCTAGATCTAGTGTTCATGTAGAAATCCGAGCAATGGTACAAAGAATATGTGAACTTCTTTGGCTCATAATTATCTTTCAATATTTGAAGATAAAATGGGATGAACCAATGAGATTGTATTGTGATAATAAGTTTGTAATTAGCATAGCCCATAGTCTTGTGCATCATGATAGATATAAACATGTTGAAGTAGACAAATACTTTATCATGAAAAGTTAGACAGTGTGTAATCTTCACACCATATGTGCCTTCTCAAGGTTAGCTAGTAAACATTCTTATCAAGGGGTTGAGTAACAACAACTTTGAAAAAATTGTTTCCAAGCTTGTATTGGAAGACATCTAATTACCAACTTGAGGGAGAGTGTTAGAAATGATGTATTTTTAGGAAAATCTTGTACTTATTTTCTATATGTTCAGGTTTGTAAATCAGATCATATCCCATAATTACAATGGTCTTATATCAAAATAGACTATTATTTTATTTTCTAAATTAGCTTACAAAGTTTTGTATAAATGCATGATGTATCTTAATAGTAGAATAATGAAATGAATTAGTCTCCTCTAAATTACAAGAGGGAGACGTGGAAAAAGTTTGCAAGTCTCAATATCAACAAGAAGTTGTCAAGGTTGTAGAGAACAAACTTGTATCATGTTAAATTTGAACTTGTAAAGAAAAAAAATATATGAAACAAATATATTATCATTACGGGTTGGCTAGGCAGAACGCATAAGTTCTAATCCTAGAGTCAGATAAGCCGATAATCTCTATTGGGATAGTATGTTGGTAGAGTGCTGTGGTGTTGCCGGAATTCGCTAGATAAAGCAACCAAAAGTCTTAGACTGAGCATATGGGTAATCCATTGGCATGGTATGAAATCGTAAGTGGTCAATAAAATGGTCTTCATCCATTTTAGTGTCATGTGTCCACTTGTTCTCTAGGGCACTAATCCATGCACAAAGGTGCTATTGACAATCTTCCATTTGTCCTTGAAACTATTATATAGTGAGCCTTCCATTCCAATTGTAGATGCTTATTGCTAAGTAACCTTCTCAATTCTCTCTTTCCCTTTCTCGAAACTCCTAGGATTCAATGGACTTACGTTATTTAGGCTAGATAAATGTTGAGAGTACACCCCATCCTCAAAGTATTGAGGTTGGCTCTCATCATTCGATGATTACTCGTATTTACTGTTAGGGGTTGTCAAGTTAGTTATGTGATTTTTAGTCATAACTCATCACCACACCTCAAGGTTAATAAGCTACCAATGTGGTCATCCTTTGCTATGAGGACTTACTTCTCACCAATGAAATTTCTTTACCAAGATTACTGGCTACTTCGTCAAATGGTACCTAAAAGAGGTCCACCAAAAATGAATTTACAACATGGAGACATGTCTCACATTACACGAGCTTTTACTCAAGTGGCCTTGTCTATTGCAATAATCATGTGTTCGAAACCTTTACACATGGTTCTTTTCATCATTTTTTCATTTATCCAAATCATATCCCACCTCACATCTCATTAAGTCTTTTAATTAATCAAATTCATGCATTCGTTTTATTATTACTAATTTTGAATAGTAACTTTTCATTGGAAAATATTCCTTTCCTTTTAAATGTATTCAAAGTATTGAGTTCATTTTTTTTCATTTTCAATGATTTTGCAATCCAACTATATGAAATCAAGATGAAATATGAATGTTTATATATAAGTATGACATTATTATCATTTAATTGTCAAGCATTAGGAATTTATGCATTTATAGAGATTTAATTGATTTCATAATCCATTATTTTAAGCAAAAAAATAGTTTCTAACACAATCTTACTATATTTAGTCGATTATATTTTAAATAGATTAAATGTGAAAAGTATGCATTAGACACACGTAAAATAATCTATTATTTTAGAAACATACAAAAAGAATACAAAAAAGGTAGATGAACAACCGATTTCAACACATATAAAAAAGATAATGATTAGGAAAAAAAAGCATAACAAATAGGAGAATCAAATTTAAAATTCAAATCGAGTGTTAATAGATATTAAGGCAAGGAAGGGTGCTAAGAATATATATTATAATTTGAATTAGATTTTAGGAGGTTTGTTTGTTATGTTTAAATTTTTAAAATATTGTTTAGATTTAGGAAATTAAGATTAAAATATTGATAATATTTGATTACAAGTTAATATTTTTGCTCTTTATATATAGTGTTCATGAATAAAATATTATTGAAGTTCCATCACATAATTCATCCCTTATTCTTTTATCTTTTTTAAGATATATTTTCGAAAAAAAAACAACAACTAATCACCGACTCAAAACAACAAAACAGCCGATCACCATTCGAAAAGGAGCAAAGGAAATCAAATAAAAATGCTTAATGTTGTGTTTGGATGAAAATTTGAAAATTTCAGAGAATTTGAAATAATTGAAATTTTTAATTGCTTTGATTTAAATTCCCTACATTTATTGTTTTGAAAAATCACATCAACCCAAAAAGTTGGCATGGAATGTGTTGATTGCTCTTTCACTTTACTTTCCTTGGTTGCCTTTGACTTAACCAATCATCAAGAGTGAAACATATCTATATGGTTGTTTTTATGAATATGCAACCTATTAACATGAGATGAGGAAGGAGGGTTATGGCAAACGTATGCCTAACCAATTTTGTTTTGTTGGTGAACCTCCTTATAGTATTTAATGCCTAGGAGTGGTTATAAATGTAGCCTTGAGACTAATCCCCCTTTGGATAGTCTTCTTCACTCTGTCTATCTTCCCAATCTCGTCAACATTAAAATTAAGGGAGATCAAAGTGTGCAAAACATAGGGTGCAAAATAAATGTGGTCACTTGGCTTCCCAATCTGGATGTGTAGAATGTTCATTAACAAGGAGTATAATTAGATTTGTGGTGGCAAGGAGACCCTTTGGCTAAGCCAAGAAAATAGTTCATGGATATAGAGATGGACTTAAATGCTGAATTAGGTTATGCCATGTAACATGTTTCATTAAACATGTTTTTTCTGAGGGTTCCACGTTTCATTTCCTATCAAATTGTGGGGGGAAATGCTTGGGTTACTCCTTTATGATATTTTTGTGATGGACATGGTGAAAATAGGTTAACTTATTTTAGGAAGAAAATATTAGATAGTTTTGGAATATTTTAATTTTTGTTAATCTTTGCATGACACTTAATTGCTCAGCACTGCCATGCTGAACACGGGCGTGTTGTAGATCACTCAGGCTATGTTTGCATAAGATAAAAAACTTGTAAAAGAACTCTTCCTGAGTTCAGTACGACCATGCTGGGTGTGGTGTAGATTACCTCAGGTCATGCTGCGTTACTTAAAGGTTCACCTGAGAAGGATGCTGAGCCCACTTTTTCTGCCGAGCACCAATTATTTTTGGGCCTCCAAATTGAGTTTCATTTTTTGCTTTGATGCTTCAACCAATATCTTCTACACTAACAAAGATAAATTGCAACAAGTAATAAAAACATAAAATTTTAAACTTTAAAGAACAAAAATGTTTGCAAATTAAGAACAAAAGGTGAGTTTTGCTTATAAAATTATAATAAAAATCCAGTATAATAATAGTATAACAACACTTAAAACCCCGACAATGTTCTTGTTTTGGCAGCGAAAAACAAAGCTTCCTAGGATTGGGAGTTTCGATACCAAGTTGAAAAGGGTCTGTCTTTCATTAATTTGTCACACAAATACATCTTTGAATCTTCCAATTATTGGGGAACAGTTCTTCCCTAAAATAGAAATTGTGAGGTGTGTGGAAATAAAATGCAATATCTTATTGGATCCGCAAAATATTCCCTAATATATTTTATTATGTACAACACTAATAGTTCTGTACAGTCACCAATCAAGCATGTAATAATATCTGTGTCTAACCTTGGTTTGACATGATCATATGCAGCATCTATAATCATGTACAGGAGTTTATCCGAAGATTATATCGTACGTGCCAAATATCACAGCAAGATAACTCTGGAGACCGTGGAAAAAGTTGTTTGACACTGAATTTGGTAAGAACTTTCAAATTGAGTATGATGCAATTCTTGTATAATCAATTAGCTTTGTTTGACTTTCCAAATTCTCGTTCCATGCTGATTTGTCATTTATTTCAGTAGGGTAGATGATGAATAGGTTTGAGAAAAACAATCTAACTGAATGATTTCAAAATTGGATTGTTTAAAACTCTGCATAAAACAAATCAATAACATGTTGCTTCTAGGAATTGGAGTTAGTTCCTTCTCCTCAAGTCATGGCATTGCTCCATGTTACTACTTTGTACTGGTGGTTTGTTGAATTGATTATAGTAAGATCTTTATTTTAGACATTTAAATGTTTTTGCTTTCTATTTTATCCAAATGTCTTTGATAACCTTCCGTGGTACTTTTATGTTACTTTTGCGGGTGGAAATAAATTATCATTGAAAACATTTTTCTCAATCCTTAACGGTAATTTATTGACTTCAATTTGCAGGCAGAAGAAAAGAAGAACGTTTGATTGTATTGGAAAAGAAATTTGACAACTTTGACGAATCCTAACATCAACACAACACATCATTTTCGGTAAACTTAATAGCCTGCGGAATGCAATTTAAGATTCTTTTTCTTGGTAACAAATTTGATTGTACCTTTTTCCTCTGTAGTTCTCCAAGTTTCTTTCCTACAGTGGTCTATTTCCTGACGAGTTTTATAGTCCAAATTACAATATGTACATTATGTACAGTACACCTGTAAATTTTCCTCAATGTATATTCAAAAGCAGAAAATTCCAAAAATGCATTCTTTTTGTACAGTTTACAGCCACAAATTTAAAACCATTAGTTACTGGCTTAATTGCACTTTAGCCTATACAAGTCATCTTGATCTTTCTAATTTAATTTGCTCACTTTCTTTAGTCTTTAGAACTTCTTAAATTTCAAATCAAATTCATCCAATGATAAACAGAAATGTAACAAAGATATGATATTTTTACAGACTATTACATCTATGTTATTTATGTTCTAAAATTGAGTACATTTATTGGATTTTGTTTTGAAAGCTGGAATGAACACTAAAACTACTAGGAGTAAGGTAATATGTTTAAATAAATAACTAAATTGGGAATCAATGAAAATCAAAATAACTGATAACAAGAATCAACAAAACATTAGTTCACAACTTAATATAAATTTGTGGTAAGATTTTTCAGTGTTTTTATATCTTAAAGTTAATAATTAATTCGGTTGTGTTGATATATAATTATTCTAATTAGATATATGTAGATATGTTGAGATATTAATATCAAAATTAACATATTAACACTATTGATTTAAATATAATATGGTAATTGTTTGGTCAAATTAAGATATTTATTAATGTTGGATACTAAAAATACTAAAAAAAACTTAGTAGTAGTTTTAAAACGAATAACAAAATCTTATTTAACCTACAATAATTTACAATTTTGTGGTGGTTTACGTCAGATAAGTATTTCAAAAACAAAAGCCAATGTTAATTGTTACTGAACGTGACTGTCGCATGGTTTACTAATTACACTATCCAAAAATGTGGTATCAAATTGTGTTAGCTGATAAATGCTCGGATTGAATAATCCAGTGACACTTTCTTCCGCCAATTTTCATCTAAAATACTATTATTCCTCTTAATATAAATAGATTTCAAAATTAAATTTTCACTAAATATTTTTAGAATTTACTTTTCGAAATTATTTTAGATTGAACTTTCTAAAAAAAAATTAAAAACATTTGAAATCAACAATCTAGAAATATTTTGAAAAACTAATTTAGGAATTATTTTGAAAAGTTTATGAAAAATTCAATATGAAATATTTTCATAAAGTTCATTCTAGAAATTGTCCAGAAAACTTATTGTAAAAATTTTCAGAAAGATAATCTTGAACAATTTTGGATTGACCTCTTCTAAAAGTTTTTTTTTTTTCTAAAAAACTAATTCTGAAATGCTTTTAAAAAGGTTAATTGAAAAGATTTCTAAAAAGATTTTTGGAAAAGTAATTTTAAAATAATAATATATACAAGATCACCTATAGATTCTTTACATTCCACCACTTTCCTTTTCTCGTCTTCTTGCATTTCCATCCGGTGTTTTTCTTGTCCTCTCCAAAGTTTATTCTGCCACCTCCCTCCTCATCTCAATTAGAGTTTTGAAGTTTAGAGTTTTGGTTGTGGAAGAGAAAAGGGGAGGTGGTGATGTCATACCAAGTTTACTTGCCGTAAAAAATGAAATGAATGACGGTAGTTTCCATAAAACACGGTCATGCATGGAAGTACACGTGAAAGTTAAAAATATATAGAATATTTTTGTCATTTAAAATAGATTATGAAATAGATGAAAGAAAATATGGAAGTAAAGAAAGAATATCTCTAATCTAAAAAGTGGCAACGTGATTTATAGATTGTTATTCATACAATTTTCATATTCCAATACGTGTTTTGACAGAGGAAAAAATTAATTAAGAATTTTTTTATATAAGGGAACAACTTTATATATAAATAAAATTATAACATTTAATTATTTTTTAAATTGAATTATTTCATAATTATAATATTAAAAAATAAAATTGTCACATATGAATGTACTTTATAATGGGGTTGTCTTTCTATAATTACTGATTTAAAAATGTCAATTTGGATAATCAGCCATCTCAATCTAGCTGTAAATAAAAAAGAAAATGAACATTGATAGATGCAACAATGTTATAGTTCCAAAAATGATATAACATGTAAAAACAAAATCAGCAAAACTATACCAGAATAATTCCATCTAATATTATATATATAGTTACATTTTTCATCACTTTCATGTTCATTAGAGTCATCAGATGGTTATCATACTTGTTGCTACTTGTTTATATTAGATTATTTATTTCTTCTTTTAAGT